GCTGCATCTCCCCCGGGGGACGGCCCCCATTTTGCTGATGCCTTGCACTGAGGAACGGCGCCAAAGGTGCAGGGACCGTGTTGGGGGTTTCAGATTCCCGGGGATCGGCACCTGGACGCGGCGGCATGTCCTGGCTCAAGATGGTGAGAGCGCTTCGTCCGTTTGGGCCCGGTACTATCAGCATCATGATGCCTTCGAGCTTTTGGGCATCGAGATGGCGCGCAGCCCGTTGGTGCTCGGGGACATGGCCCCGCCCGAGGTACGGGCTTTGGCCTGAGGACATGATCGTGTCCAAATACCGAGCCAACGACCCGGCGTGGTCAGCCCTGCTTGGGTCGTGGCTGACAGGCACCGGAGTCCTGCGCTACAAGCACATCATGAGGTCGCAGCCCCGGCGATTGAGCAACACCACCTTTCATGGACGTTGCTCCAGAGGCAAACAACGGCAGAACAGGCAAGGGTTTGACTTCTGTGCCCCGGCGGTGTTCGCCAATGGTTGGCCCTGGGGGATCGTGCTGGCTAAGTGGCAGCGCCTGCCAGATGAGGTACGTGGCAGCAGCGGCCTCTGCTTCAATGAGGCAGGGCAGCCTTGGTCCCTGGCTACGATCCAGTCCGAATCATGAGGGAGGCTTCGCTGAGACGGCTGCTCGGCTGGGGGTGAATTTCAACCTGGCGGATGAAGTGGTACAGGCATTGATCGCCACCCAGATGCAGAACTTGGAAGAGTTCCGCTTCTACTTCGAGGACATCTCCAAGATCGAGCCCTGGCTCACTCGCATTCAGCTGGGCGAGGGCAAGGCATTGCAGGTGGCGCGCTTGCGCCGGGCCTGGTCCGCAGTGAGCGTCTACCTCCAGCAGGCCACGCAGGACCGACCTCGGGTGGCAGCGGCTGATCTGGAAGCATTGTTGCGGGGGACAACGAGCTTCGGGAGGTCAAGGCGGCGGTCTGGAAGCGGCACCGCCAGCGCTATTCTCCTGATCTACACCCATCGGATTCGACGGTATCCCGGGTGTCACGCGAGATGGATCGCCGTATGCTGCGCGTGTTTGAGTTGAGCCGAGTGCGCTCGCTCCAGCAGCAGCTGTTGGCCTCCAGCCGCAAGAGGAAACTTGCGGAAGGGCTATACGTCGAGGAGGACGAGTCTTCGACCTTGGCCATGGTGGCCCAGGACGTCAAGACCTACCTGCAGCAGCTCTTCACGCTAATGCTGGCTTATGCATTTGCCGGAGTCCATCCTAAGGATGTTGAGTGCGGACTCCACTGGGTTTGTGCAGGTGCCCCTGGATGTCATGCTCGCCTACTACTACCGGGCCCGCAGAACAGCCCTGATGATCCCTCAGTCGAGGAGACCGGGCTGGCTGCAGCAGCGCGACGTGGAAGAGCGTGCTGAGTGGGTTGCTCGCTTCCGAGAGTCGACTCGGACGCTGGGGGAAGTGGTGAAGGAGGTTTTTGGGGCGAGGGACGCCCACTGGATCGTGTCCCCCACGGAGTCGAGTTTCCCTGCCCCTTCGGCACCGGCAGCGCCCAGCAAGGACTCGGGCAGCCAGCTGATGGTGGGGAAGCCCGTCATGCGCGATGGGACCAAGCTGTGTGCGGCATCCAACAGGGGGGGAAGGACTGTGCCCAAGGGGCACACAGGTGTGGCGCCATGCTGAAAGGTAACCGGGCCTGCGGTAATTCACCCCGCGCATGGAGCCAAAGCATGCAGGGCAAAGCCGGCAAGCATCTTTGGCGGACCAGTTGAAGGAAGTTGACTTCGTTGCGGCCGCGCTGCACTGCAGTACTAAGTCCCGAGCTCGTGAGATACCCCGCAAGTTTGCAGACGGCCGACCAGCTCCTCGCCCACTTCGCTCAGAAGAGTTTCCGGAAGCACTCCCGAATCTGGCCGGAGCGGATTTGACCCGCGTGCAGACGGAGAACAAAGCCTGCCACTGGGTGTTGGCCCAGATACAGGCCCATGCAGAGCGGGGAGGAGCCTCGGCTCGTGAGAACCCATGGCAGTCGCTCCACTCATGGCTGCAGAGATGTTGCAATCGGGACTGTGGTCAGACTGTCGCTATGCAGCGTGTGCGTGGGGAGGGGTTCAGTATGCTCTGGTGGAGAGGGCGCAAAGCTTCAGGGGCAGGAGGGGGATTTCGTACATTGACAATGTGGCCTCCCTGATGGGCCTGGTTTGTGGGCGCTGCGAAAGGTCTGATCTGGATTTGATGGTCCGCCAGATCCATATCATGCTCTCTTCGCCCTTGGCTCTTGGTTTTACTGGGAGCCCCAGTAAGAGCAACTGGGCGGATGCCCTCAGCCGGCTGGGCCGGGCAGATCCATGGCACAGAGCTAATGGTTTTTCCATGGCATGGCAGACGCCTTTTCGTTCGAGTTGTGGCAGTTGCCGCTGCATGCCTTGGTGCTAGTCATGCAGTTCCTATAAAGTGCTTTGGGGTAGTGCGTTGGGAGATTCCTGGACAGGATGTCCACGAAGGGTCCCTGACCATGATGCCAAAGGCATCCGTCTGTCAGGAGGCGATGCCTGACAGACATCCCAAAGCAAATCCCTGAGGTAGGGTTTGGAACTGCGTTGCATCGAGCCGGCAGGAGAAAAGAGGCGTGCTCCGTTTTAAGTGACATACACAGGAATGAAATGAGTGATGCACAGGCAGCCAAACTGAGATGTCCAAACAACATGGTCAGTCGAGTCCAGAGGCTCATCAACAAATGAGTGCCCTTTTGTGTGCCATAGCCTTTGAGCGATTAAAGTGCCCGTTTGTTCAAACAGGTTAGAGAAGAATACGGCTTAGGGCAACTCCGCTGTCGAGCCCTCATCCCGGCTCTTGCCCGCTGCCAAGCAGCAGAGTTGCAGGTTGAAAGACATCAGACATTGCCCACTTGGGGCAAGTGCATGCAGCCTGATGCCGGGCCATCATAGTAGACGTTGCAGTGACAATTGCGAGCGCGGCTAACCGCGCAAAAGCGGCTGGCCGTGCAGAAGCTTTTGGCACAGGTGCCCTCACAAGGGCCTGGTTTTGAGCTGATAGCCTCGGCCGCAGGTTTTACTAGTTGACAGCCACTCCTTCTGGTTCTCAACAGGGCATCAAAGAGGGTTTTGGGAATGACGGCATGGTTCAAGTCGGGCTCTTTTCAAAACTCGCTGCAACAACTTCAGCTAACATGTGATAATCACAAAACCAGGGGGGAGGGGTGGGGTGAAGGTTCTCCTCTGGGGAAAGTAAAGGGGATGACTAAACCAAGATGCCCTCTACTTGCAGGGCGGCTGCAACTACCATCCGGCCTTTGCACAACTGCTGGTTTCGATAGGTAGTGTCTCAAAGTTGTCAACTTTGAGTTAATCCCAGGGCTGTTTTTAGCTTTAATTTAGTTTGGAGTCATTTTGGGAGTCCCTCTGATTCCCCAGAGGACTTATTTTGGGGGCCCCCTTCCAGGGTCCCCGAAAAATCAATTCGTGTTTAGGAACAGCATGGATCCTCTTTCTGGGTGTATAAAACGGAACCGGCCTGCACTTGAGCAGGGTTGGGTAGCCCTGGCTTTGCTTCCATCCGAGGGCGTCATAAAGCCGGTCTTGCTGGTCAAGTTGTTTATGTGTTTGCTTGTGTTTGGTTGTGTGTGTGTGTATTCGGTTGATTCGCTTGTTTGTTGTTTGTTTCTTTGTTTGATTGCTTGCTTGCTTGTTTGCCTGATTGTGTGTGCGTGCGTCCGCGGCTGCTGGCGGCTGGCTGGGCTGGTGTTTGATAGACCTTGGTACGTCTATGGCGGCATTTGGATTGAGCGCAGAGTGACTTGGCATAATGTTAAACAGCCTCACTCATGACGGCTTGACTTTGGGAGCAGCAAGCAAAAGCTGTTTGACAGCACCTAGCTGACCTCGACTGTTTGTTGATACTTCTCAATCCGGGGTAAGCATTACAGTTTTGTGAACGTCCATGGCACTATTTTCCAATTTACTCATCCCCCTTGCTCAACCCAAGAAACGAAAACATGGCATGCCACTTGTGTATGCTCCATTTGGCACACTTGTGCCTCTGGGCCATGCCGCATGCTATCCTTCAGCCCATGGCTAATGGCGGCCCGGGCTCCTGAGGTTTGGTTTGTCAGGATGGTTCGTCCATTCGGGCATGTATTGTGACACGGTTTTGTGCTTGCGAAGCGCGTTTTGCAGGTTCGTTGCGCGAGCCTTATTTTGACTGTGATGAATGAGGCAAATTTGATGGGCGAGAGGACCCTGTCACAAACGAGACATACATCTGGAAGTTACACCGCTGCATCAAGCCCTTTGAGCTGAATAATGCAATATTGCACTCAGGCATTTTCAGAGTACCTTTTTTGGGTGGGTTTTAAAGGGAGACCAAAAGGAAACGCCATCATTCTTGGGGTCGCCCTAATTTGACACATACCCATGTGCCAAATATACTTGGACATGACAGATGGCAGGTAGGAGTGGCATGGACCATAGGCTGTGGCTTGCCTTGTCGCTCTACATGTGCTTTCTTGCTCGGGTGTAAAAGGCGCGTGTTTTCTTGGTATGATGTGATATCTTGATTTCAAGGAACCCTTTGGTGATTTACATTGGTGGAGTGAATGTTCGTTGGTTGTTGAAACTCATCGGGAAGACATCCCCTAGCTCTAAACCAGCAAACCCTGATCGTGCAAGTTTGTGTGGCGTACTCGGTTTCGCCAGCTAGTTCCAGCCATGGCCGGAAGGTTGTGTCCAACCGTTGCGAAGTATGTCAGTGAGCTGGAGGGTATGCGAAGCTGAGCTTTCCGAAATACAAGTATGAAAATTCCGTTGGAACGCGAATTGGGTCCCAGCCCAGGTGTCGACTCTCAGGCAACCAGCCAAATCTTTAGGGCCCCTCCTCCCCTCTTGGCCCGCCGAGTCGCATGCTTGCTTGGGTGCAACACGGCCTGTAGTTGTCCGAGCTGTTCATCCAGGAAACCAAAAGGGGATGGGCGAGTGATTCGGTTTTTCTAGACCGTACCCGGTTCGCGTAGTGAGTGGCTCAAGTGGGTGAGCGGAAAGCAGAGAGATGGCCTCCCGCCTGCTTGGCGTGGGGCTTCTGGCGGCGGCGCTTTCTCCAGGGCTTCTCTTCAGCGTGGTTGCGGCGCAGCTGAGGGATCGACCTGTCCGGTTCGGGGGTTGGGCAAAATGTGTCGAAGCACGTAGACCCTGGTCCCCTTGGAAGGTACTAGAAAGCCACCAGGAGTTTGAATAGGCAACAATTAGCGGCTGAAAAATGCCTAAGCAAGGGTGGCCAGTATGTGTGCCACACCATGTCTCTAAGCTCGTAGTACTAACTTTGTTGCCTTTGGTTCATGATGCCTTGAACCAGAATACTAATTCATGATGCCTTGAACCAGAATACTAATTCGCTCAAATTCTGCACAATGTTTACTTCTGATCAATACCTCCCAAGGTCGACAAGGTGGACTAGAACTAGACTTTGGAAGGTCTTTTTGTGCAGCTCCGCCTATTAATCCAGTCGTCTCCTGTCCTTTCCAGTCCTCTTTGGTCCTGCCTCGCTGGCCAAAAGGATGGCAATGGCACGTGCAAGGAAACTGTGTTTGTTTTGTTCGTAGGCCTGGAGAGTGCTAGGTTCATTGAGGGGGGGCTTGCATCATTCAAGGGGGACTTGTGAGAGCAAATGCAAGAAGCATGTCGCCGTTTCTGTCTAGCCTTTTTTTGTTTTTTGTTTTTTTTGGGGAGGGGGGACTCTTAAAAGATCCGGTTTTTTTTTTTTTTTTCTAGGGCGGTTTTTTGTGTTTTGCTAGGGCTGGTTTGGTGGTTTGGTTTGTTGGTTGGTTGGTTGGCTATCCCCCCATCATCACCAGCCTCACTTGGCCTGGCGGTTGCCTATCCAGGCTGCTGTTGGGCCTGTGTTGGGTTGATTTTGGGTGGATTTGGCATTGGTTTGGAGCTGATTTGTGTTGGGTGTGCTGCTGGTGATGTAAACGGGTGTCTTACGTGAGTTTTGGTCCCGTTTAGGATTTGTTTTGGAGCGTTGCCCCAAACCACGAAAACTCGCCCACAACTCACGCGACCACATTCCTAAAGCAACCCTAAAGGCACCCTAAACGCACCAACAAAACCAGCAGCACGCCCAACACAAATCAGCTCCAAGCCAACCCCAAATCCACCCCAAGTCAAGCCAACACCCGCCCAACAACAGCATGGATGTCAGCTCTTTGCTTCGCCTTAAAAACCCCAAACTACCCCAAGACCCACCCTCATGAAGATCTAAGCCAGTCTAAACGCCCCCTAGCTGAAACCAGCCCCCGATCAACTCCCAACTGCCTCCAAATCAGAGCCAATAGGCAACCCCCGGGCCAAGTGAGGCTCGTGATGCTGGAGCCGTGGGCTCTTTTAAAGTAGTATTGGCTAGGAATCGGGGGAGGACTGCCTTGAATCCCGGGACCTATCGCAGGTCCATAGGTCAACATTTTGAGCCAGCGGAAGGGCGTTTCAACAACCTGATGAAAGCATAAGACAAAGGCAATGCGTACAGTTAGGCTTGGCCTGGCTCATGCAGTACTTGTTTCCGAAAGAAACCACCCTGCTGCCTTGTGGCGCAGATTTCAGCTTTAATGAAATACCGCAGCTGCTTCTTCTTACCTTGTGTCAAACTCTCAAGCCATTTGAGGCTGTTTGACCAATCCTTCTTCGGACGGTAGTCAAAGTAAGCCGCCAACTTCAAGGGGTTCCTGATTTAGCCACTGCCATGCAATTCACAAGCAACTTTGCGCAGTTTGCCTTTGTCCTTTCAATCGTGCAGAAGCCCAGCCTTGAGCCTGTCAGGCAGCCATGTTTGGCGTTCAGTCCCAAAAGGTTTCATAGCAGCACCCTTGAAGACCTACAACTTGGTGGCGCGCCCGTTTTGTCGACCAAGGTGCGCAGCCCCAGCCGCACTGCGCCTGCCGCTCCCTCGGCGCAGCGACTTGCAGCTGGGGGAGGTGGTGTGGCGCCGTCCGTCGCCGGGTGTGGTGTGGTGGTGGTTCTCGCTGCCAGCCGCGGCAATGCCAGGCAGCTCACGGGCGCTGGGCGCTTTCCACTTTAAACTTTGCCGGGGGCAGGGCAGCTTTCAAAAGCCCTTGCTTTTACGAACCCTGCTTCGAAGGCACGAGTTCGGCTCATGGCGGGGTTTGGCTGCCATGCTTTTAGGACGTGTTCGGGAGCCATGTGTAGATTCAGTGCACCAACTGTCAGGCCGACTCTGCATGGGGCCTTGTGACAAGCATTCCAGTGAAGCGGGAGTTGCGTTGCACAGATCGTTTTCAATTAACTTGCGCTCTTGAAGTCTCGCAGTGAAGCCACACAAATGTCACCCAGGATCCCAAAAGAGTCCATATGTTTGACAACCCTCCATGTAAGTCGGCGGCAGGAAGAAGTGCAGCCGGAAGGCTGGGATTATGGGTTCATTGGATGATTTGAAGAAGGAAGAAGAAGAGGAGAAAGAGATGCAGGAGAAGGGCAAGTCCCAGGAGTGTCTCAGATGAAAGCTCAATGGAGAAGCTTCAAGCTGGATGTAGGGCTTAATTGACCAATTTGCTCCTAGTGGCTTGCTTCGAGCAGGCTAGAATTGCGGCTTATGGGTGAGGTATGGTACCAAATCTTCCGACGAGGGCGACAAGCTGAAAGCCTTCTTTGACCAGGACATAGACATTTCCGAGTTAGAAGAGCCGCTTGGACATTTGCCTGTGGAAGAGGCTTGGGGGACGTTGGGCGCATGGCCAGCCTTTAGCTGCTTGGAAGATCCAACCAGCGCAGTTTGGCAAGGCTCTTGTGCCCAGGTGGCAGTTGTGAAAATTCTGCCAGCTTGAGTGCATCTGACCTTGCCTCAATTTGCGGCTTACTTTTGATATGTGGACACTTTTGCCCGCAAACTTGCATTATGTGGCAAGAAGGGTTCTTCTCATGCGATACTCCGTTCCGGACGGCGAATGATGTTCAATTACGGTTTGCTTTGGCCAGAGCGGCATCTTGCCTGGCTGGAACCCGGTTCGCAGTCTTGGCAGGCTAGTATTTCCCTTTGATGAAGCAGCTGGCCAAACAATTGCTTGATCCATGAAGCCCTGCGCTTCGCTAGGTTGACTTTGCTACTCAGAGGTTCCGCTGTTGCGTGTGTGTGTGTGTGTGTGTGTGTGTGTGTGTGTGTGTGTGTGTGTGTGTGTGTGTGTGTGTGTGTGTGTGCGTGCACAAGGTAGGACACATTACTTTCATTGTGAGTGTGCAGAGAGCAGCTTGCCTCAGTGACACCTGAACCCAAGCAAGCCAAGCAGGTGTTCCCCTTTTTACTCAAGGCAACGAAACATCAAGCAGCCAACAAAATACTCAATCAACGTTGGCATCCAAAAGGTGATGTTTAAACAAACCAACGAAGACATGACAACCCCTGAGAAAAATGACTGGACGAAATAGGCAGGGCGAGACACTGTTGTGCATCAATCCAGGCGGCTCTGCTACAATTGTGGATTCATGCAAAGCAGGGCACCTTTTCAGTGAGCGAGCATGATCCCATTTTTGAGGTCCGGAGGCGTATTTCGCCGTCGCCTTGATGATTTCGAAAGGGAACAATTCTCAGCCCAGGTACTTGTTGCGATCCGATCGCTGGGCCAATGAACCCAAATATGTATATACATACAATGTATATATGCACATATTCAGTAAACAATACAAACTATTGAAGCAAATCAAACTTTGTATTTTCACATTTGCCAGTGCCAGTGCGCAAACAGAATATGTTCAGCATGCGCTAGGCAAAAGCATAGGTAATAGTTATCGCTTTCGATGCACTTCCCGCAGTTTGAAGCTTACCGACCCCCAATCAAGCAGAAGATGTTGTTTTAACATGCCGAGCCTGTTGGCTGTCATGTCAAACATATGTCTTTGACGTGCATCCATCACCGCCACAAGCATCAGCTTCTTCTGAAAGCCAATGCTTGCCCTATCCTAGGGCAGAGCTGACCTGCCCAGAAAGGAATTTCGACGACGCACATACACCACGCGGACCTTGATACTTAAGCCATATCATTGGCAGTTGCAGCGCCGTTGGGTTTTGTGCAATTTTGGGACTGCTCAGTGTTGGTATGCAAGCCCTGCTTGCAAACAGACACTGCCCGTATTCTAACATATGCTCGGCACCGCTGAGATGCTCGAGTTGGTTCGCACTCAGATGGTACATACAAGGTCAACACAGTTAAACAGACCTTTGCTCCAAACAGAGTGCCGCGCGGAACGACTCAAATAGAAGATCATTGCAGCAAGTTGGTATGCAACACGCTTGATTGTTTATTTTAACGGGACGGGCGGCCTTTATTTGAAATAGAAGCTGCGTAGGAGCCACGTTTGGAATGTATGTTACATCAGATTGGCAGAATGTGAAATGAAACCGATAAGGTTTGACTGTACCTGAATACACACACATATATATATATAGATATTTAGAGACATGTCCATACATGTTTGCTTATACACGTGTGTATGGGGACCAACCGCAAATTCGTGGTGTTTTCCATGTTTGTAATCGGGTGGCTTGTTAGCCGTGCGCGATTGGTAAAGCCTACATCGCGAAAGGCCGCGATTGGGGTAACATCCATGTTTGCTGGTAAGATGGGAAGAAGTTATCACGTTTGCTCCACGATTGGCCCCGCTGTGGTCGCGATTGGAGTGCGAAAGGCCAGCGATTGGTGGGTTTTCTTTTCCAGCTTCTAAAAATGAGGCTCTAAAACAGCACTCCTTTGTTAGACTTAAATTCTAGCACCAGTACTTGGTGCAAGCCAGGATGTGCTGGCACGTGCTAGCGCATCCTGGATCGAAGATTGAAGACTTTCTGACATTTCTTTCTGGGAATCTTCAATTCTGTACTTTGGGCAATCCAGGGTGCGCATGTGCTAGCACATCCTGGATTGAAGATCGAAGATTGAAGATTCTCTGATTCATTTTTTCATCCAGGATGTGCTAGCACATGTTCGTTTGTCCTAAGGATGCACTTGAAGATTGCCACAACAAGTGGCCTGAGATTCCCTAAGCACACATGTGAAGAATTCCATAAAGAGTTGTCAGAGAATCCTCAATCTTCAGCATGTTCCAGCACGTGCCACATCCTGGATTACACTAAGTGAGGGTTTGAAGAATCCAAAAAGCAGACCGGGAGCGCACGTTGACAAAATCAAATTGTGGATGTGCACTTGCACTGCCTGCATTTGGCCAAGGGGGAGCATGTTGTTTGACACCTTTCCAGTTTGTTTGTGGACTTGAGGGCTGGCCAGGATGGAAGACTCTCAAATACAAAATACGGTAGATCTTCAAACTTCAATGCAGGGAGGATGTTCTAAAAATATGTTTGTGGAATCTTGTATGTTCGATCTTCGATCCAGGGCAACGCGATCTGAGAAAATGCTGAAAAAGCGCCGTGTTTACAGCATTCAATAAGATCTATGCTTGAAAGCACTTGTCTGTCGTGATTAAAAACATGGACTTGGATACGGACAATCACCGTTTTGAAATTGAGTGTGCTTCCAAGTTCATTTGGCCATGGCAATAGCTATGTTGTCCATTTTTGTGTTTTTTGAAACGCGCAAGAAACTGCAACCATTCAGCATGAATTTGGCTTGACCTCGAAAGCGTTTTAAATTTCCTATGCTTGAGTTTCAATAGTTGTTTTTGACGATGGTTGAACCAAACTAGACAAGCAACGCGCAACTGAGATAGTTGCTTTGAAACATCTATCAGACTGATTAGAATGTACAGGGAATTTTGCACAACACACGAGTTAACATGTAAATGCAACTGAGCAAGGACATGAAACACTTTATATATTCATTTTGGGTGTCAGTTGCAAGTAGGAATGAGTTCCTTGTCAAGTTGATGATTTGCTGAATTCCCGCCCAAAATCACCAAATGGTAGAGCTGCTAGGCACGTTTGTGCTGAACAGTTGTGCTTGTCGAGCTGGAGCTGCCAAAGTGCACTTTGCATACTCCAATGGGACTTTAAGTGCACTTCGCGCACGCCAATGTGACTTTCGAGCTGTTAGAAGAGGAACTACTAGTCAACGTTGAGCTTAACTTCTGCTTGGTTGGAATTTGCACGGAGTTGTGCGTCCTGTCAGTTCCTTTCAGAGTCTCAAATCATTTGTTAGTTCTGGCCAACCACCTGAGTATTTCAAGGGGGGCTAGCGTATATATATATATATGTGCATATATGTTGATACTTTGATATGTGTATGCATGTGTGTGTGTGTCTGTGCATGTCCTTGTTCCCATGCCATGGAACCGCCCTGCGCACCTGGCACTTCTGAGCAACCGGCGAAGCCCATCTTGTTGCGCTGCGCCCGAGGTATGCCAAACAGTACGCGGAGGACGCAGCTGACACGAGTAAGCGCCAGATCGCATACAAGCTGTATCCCTCCAAGCAGCACCTAGCCAAAAGCTGGAGGTTAGCTGAAAGCTGCGGAATATTTTTCTATGACTGGTGATTGACACTGATATCTGCACCAGAAAGATTCAAAAACCCTTGCATCAGAGCCCCTTCGAGTAGGTTCCCAAAGAAGCTTGTCCGGCTGATGAAATCCAGGTGTTTGTGGCTGTGTCGCCACGGACGCGTGTGATGTAAGTGTTTGGCTGGTTGAAGTGTGGCTGAGATGTTGGTAGATCGCGTTGGCCGACCGGAAGCGGCGGCAGCAGCCTCAGCAGGTTGCCGCTTGCACCGGTGGTGGCTGTGGCTGTGGTGTTCCCCTAGCCAACCCCAAGTAAACACAGCCCTACACCCTAAACCCAACCCCGCAAAATGCTCATATCCACCCTGAAGCCAAGCTAGATTGACCGGACCATACACGCACCCATAACCCAATCCAAATTCACGCTAAACCAAATCCTAAGCCAGCCCCAACGCACCCTAAACCAACGCTAAATCATCTTAGGCCCTTCAAACCCAACAGCCCACTGGTGATGTTTGTGGTGTTAGCAACGTTTCAGGTCGTTTTGGGCTGTTAAAACGATTGTGGCGGTCAAATGCGTGCATTGTAAGAACATGCTGTGTTTTCTGCATTTGGGCACTGAAGGAATAAGACGTAAAAAACACGACCCCCCCAAATGTTAGCGTTGCGGGCCAAGCTGAGTTCAGCTGCCCCTTGTTGCCAAAAAGGTATGTGCTCTACCTCGCGAAGAAGAACGCCATCAAGACGTGGGCCAAGGAGGGGCCGTCTATGGGGAAAAAAGGCCTTAGCAAGGACTAGTACCAAACATTCTGGCTTGTCGTGGTGCACATGCATCCCATCGTCTCGTGGTGAACCTTAGGGATTTTGATATGTGTGTTTGGCTGAACGCACGCCAAGCAAGCAATGTTGCCATCGCGAGGGTTGAGCGTTCTTCGAAAACCTTCCTTGTGGCAGCTTCCAAAACTGCGTCAACATGTTGGTTTCGTCTCGAATCCGCTGCGCTCGGAACAAGACACGGAGAGAGACACACAGAGAGAGACACAGAGAAAGACACACAGAGAGAGACATACAGAGAGAGACATACAGAGAGAGACACAGAGAGAGACACAGAGAGAGAGACACAGAGAGAGAGACACAGAGAGAGAGACACAGAGAGAGAGAGACACAGAGAGAGAGACACAGAGAGAGAGACAGAGAGAGAGACACAGAGAGAGAGAGAGAGAGAGACACAGAGAGAGAGAGAGAGAGAGAGACAGAGACACGAGCTGACTGCCAGGATGGCAATCAGGGAGGGCTTGAAGTTCAGATCGCCGTGCTCACGGAGAGGACCTGTGATTCAGCACATTCCGACGTACAAGTACAAAACATTTAAGTCAAGTTCTTCATGGGGGGAAAATAGGGCCTCCCTCCCATGCTGGAAGCTTTTGCCAGGATCCGCAACATGGTGCTTCACATGCGGGAGTTCCGGCGCGACTACAAGCGCCTCCCCGGTGGGCGGGCAGTCTTCATCCATTTGGAGTGTTTATTCCACGGCCCAGCCAATAATTGGGTTTTTAAGGCCCAATGCATGTGACTGTTTTTATATAGACCCAATGCATGAAATTTCGACTCCGTCGGTTGACTGCAGCAACATTCAGAAAGGCCGCAGATCGTGCAAGACATATCCCTTTGCTCAATCCGCCGTTGTAAGCAACACAGGTTTACAAGTGTGGTTAGGGGGGGACAGCAAGGGAAGCATGAGTATTGACCATATTCGAGTCAACATCAAACAACACATTTGAGATCAGACAGGCCAAACTTGAAGACAAGGCATGCGCTTCCAACTTGGAGTTGAAGCTTAAATTCCTGGAAGGATATAGATTTGCCCTCAGTCCATAGTTGGCCATGCGATGCCACAAAGAGCACCAAACATAGTGCATGTCAGTGTGATTACGGTACGGAGGTGTTTTTTCATTTTTCTTTTTCTTTTGGCTTTTTGGCTTCTTGGCTTTTCGGCTTCTTGGCTTCTTGGCTTTTTGGCTTCTCGGCTTCTGGGCTTTTCGGCTTTTTGTTGGATTATGCGGGTTTTGGTGGCGTTTTGGCTTTTGAGTTTATGCGGCTTTTGGCGGCTTTTGGCGGCTTTTGGCGGCTTTTGGCGGCTTTGGCTTTTCGCCTCCTCTGCTTTCACAGTTCCTCTCTGGGCTTTTTTGCTTTTGCACCCTTTCATTGGTTTTTGGATTTGGCTTCCCGCATCATCAGCATCACCAGTTCCTCCCTATTTGAATCATCACTTCTTCGAACATCATGGGGGTGAAGGCCCCCCCCCAACCCACCGGCTACTGTTGTTTGCAGAGTAATTGCACCCCTATTTGAATCAACACTTCCTCAAACATCATGGGGGGGCTGCCGCCCCCCCAACCCCCCCGCTACTTTTTAGATTTCTTGCAGAGATTGAATTGCACGCCTATTTGAATCATCACTTTTTCGAGCGTCGAATTTCGCGAGAACATGCTGCAAAATACAATATTTTTTGTAATCTGTGTAATCCATGTACTGTATGTCTGTATGTATGCACTTCTTCGAACATCATAGGGGAAGCCACCCCCGCCAACCCTCCCGCTGCCTTTTAAATTCTATCGCACCCTTTCTTTAATCATTGCACCCCTGATTGAATCATCACTTCTTCCGACATCATGGGGGGCTTGCCCCCCCCTCCCAACCCACCCGCTACTGTTTAGATTGTTTGCAGAGTAATTGCACCCCCAATTTGAATCAACACTTCTTCAAACATCATGGGGGGGAGGGGCTGCCGCCCCCCTACTTTTTAGACTTTTTGCAGAGATTGAATTGCACTCCTATTCGAATCATCACTTCTGCGAGCATCATGGGGGAGGCTGCCGCCCCCCCAACCCCCCGCTACTTTTTTTGTTTGTTTTAACACAGGGACTGAAATGCCCTCCTATTTGAATCATCTTTTTTTTTGATTCCGTCAACCCGCCAGCTATTTTTTCGATTTTGTTACCCACGATTTGTTGGTGATGCTAGGGATGTTGGTCGGACATGCGGGGGATGTTGAGAACGATGCTGGGGATGTTGACGGGCTAGTGTAAAATGCGGCAATTTCGCGAGAAAATGCTGTAAAATACAACATGTTACTGGCCCGGACGAAAAAATAATAATAAAATCTGCACCCTTACGGTATTTGTGTTGCTGAAGCCAAGGCACTACTAGTTTCTATGGCTGCAAGTGTAGGTGCATTCATTTTTCGTGTTCTTGCCCTACACGGCAAGTTTACTTGCCAAAGAGCAATTGGGCACTCACTGTGCTTGGGCCTTGGCCCTGAGCAAGGCAGTTGTTGAGTGTCAAGACGTTGCTTTGCTGTCCTTAGAGCCAACGGTTTTAAAGTTTCGGTTCTCTTGCTTCGGCTCCAATGTTCCAAGTCCACCACCATGTGTCACTTGGTCTTTTACTGGGCTGTCCATTTGGTCCTCTTTCTGTCGTTCTCCATGTGGTCTTTTATTTGAACAAGTATCCATTTGGTTTTCCCATTTGGTCTTGGCCTTCCACTGGCTAATCCATTTGGTTTCTCCATTTGCTTTCTATTCGGATGCCAGCCATGGACTCAGGTGCCGTATGAAGCTCACCAGCCTGGTGTGCCGAAGGCGCAGATATCTGGACAAGCTCGCGGCCAAGAATTTGGATGCCTACATGAAGATTCGCGAGGCTGAACCACCGAACGTGGGCATTTGTTGGTATGAAATGCCGCTGATTGTTTGTTTACTTGGTTGGTTGGTTAGTTGGTTATTTGGTTTTGGTTTGATGTGTGTGTTTGTTTGTCAGTTGGTTGGGTTTGGGTTGGGTTGGTTTAGTTTGGTGTGGTTTGGTTTGTTTGGTTGGTTGGTTGGTTGGTTTTGGTTTGGTTTGGCTTGGTTTGGTTTGGTTGGTTGGTTGGTTGGTTGGTTGGTTGGTTGTTTGGTTGGTTGGTTGGTTTGGTTGGATGTTTTGGTTGGTTGGTTGGTTGGTTGGTTGGTTTGGTTTGGTTTGGTTTGGTTGGATGTTTGGTTCTGTTTGTGTTTATGTGTTTGTTTGTTTTTTGTTTTTGTTTGCTTGTTTGCTTGTTTGCTTATTTGCTAGTTAGTTAGTTTGTTTGTTTGTTTGTTTGTTTGTTTGTTTTGTCCGACGATTATTCCAAGAGGGGGGGAATGGTTTATTTGTTTGGCCGGACTCTCGATTTCGCAGCCAATGGCAATGGCTTACAAGAAGTCAGCGAAGCTCAAGCTTCAGGGATTCATTGTTCCGTTCATTGCCGGAATCGACCCACCCAAGTGCAGGCGTTTGTTTGGCAGCAGGTAGTATGCTACTCACAAAGGTGTAGGCGTTTATTGGCGGAATGTACTAACCCCCAATCACGCTGAAACACGATGTGTTTCGTTGGGGCTACGGGGAAAATACGGGTTTCCACGGGTTTGGCACGGGTTTGCTGCAGGAACCGCCCTTGTTTCTCAACAAAGTTGCAAAATCCACCAACCGCCAAGGCTTGACTGGCTGGGGCTGATTGGAGCCTTACACCGTCTGAGAACAAGGCTTTTGGAATCGAACAGAACCCCCCCCGGCACCGGCAGCAAATAAATTGAATTTCAGATTGGGTTTGGAATCATCTCAGGAGAATGGCCATTTATATAGAGGTGTTCCTCCAAAAGCACAATGTTTTCCCAGATGACGCAACTTTTTCCGCATACCCAAGGCGAACCACCGTCTTTTTGCAAAGGCACGACCAATTTACAGGCTTATCAAGCTCTAGGTAGCTCGTGGAAGCTGGATCTTAGGGCCACTTGTTGTGATACCAAGGAACCCCCTTAAAATGGCCAAGAAGTCAGAAGGATGGGAATTCCACATCGGTATTACAGAAAGGTGCCCATTCGCCACCAGTCAACAGGCCCCTCGACTTGGTAGGGTTTGTGTTTTGCCGAATGTAAGGGTTCCGCAATCTGATCCAAGCACCAGGAGCTGAAGATCCGCCACGTTTACCGCATGGAGGCCCTGAAGAATCGCTTGCCCGCCTATGTGCGCTTTGGCGGCAGGTGTGAGCTGCCAATAGGTGTACTTTTGGGGCAGTTGGGTTGAAGATGGATACCACTGGTTTCATGTTTTATTCCCCAAATCTTTCCCGCCTCCATTTTTTCCGAAAGGACACCAAGGTGCCCAAGGCCCCTTGCTGGCAAAGGCAATGGCGGCCAACGAGGTTGCATCTAGCAGACTACCAAAAGGCTCCATGAGTGAATAATTACGTCATATGTTCATGGCAGGCACGGTGGAACTGAAATTCAACAGCGAGTCGCGCACTTGCATTCACTTGGTGAACCATTGTTTGAGTGGCTTGGAACGGGCATACGCAGGGATATCTGAAACCAACTGGGCAGCGTTTGTTTTCTTTTTCTGGAATCCGAGGTTTGTACAAAAGGGAGCTGCATCATGTTCACGTAGGCAATTTAGGTTGGGGGGCGTAGGCTCGCGTAGGCATTTCGCGAGCATCATTGTCTTTTTTCTGCGTAGGCGCCCAAGTAGACAAGCCTAGGATGATGGGCAATGAGCGACTCAGCAGAGACAAAGCCCGAGGTAGCAAAACCGCCAACCAAGCCATCCGCATAAGCAAGGAAGACACAAATACACGCGCGTAGGCACCCCTTGCAGTTGCCAAGGTTTTGCGTAGGCACTCGCGTAGGCGTGTGTGTGTGTGTAGTGTATAGGCCCCGGGCACCCAACAAAAACCTGCCAAACTGCTGTGACGAGCCTTGCGCGGCGACAGAGCCCGAGCTAGACATCAGAACGTTATTTTGAATTCAGAGTCGTCCCATCTTGGATGATAAGTCATTCTGAGTGTCAACTGAACAAGCCACACGCTTGGATCATGCAGCCACATTTCGAGCCCGCATAACACCAACCATGAGATATGAAGCATTTTGTCCCCACTGGTTTTTTATAGACATCCTAGTTAGACATGCACTTTCCTCAAATTTTGAGAGGGGTCTTCTCCTGCATGTTTGGTCCTCATTCGCAGGAATGTGCTTTGGTTTGGACTTTTCCAGACTTCCTGCAATGTTCCTTCATTGTCTTGTGCCCATCTTGACCGGCATTGTGCGGACCAATCGTATTTTGCTTTGCTTGGCTGAGTGTAAGCCGTCTTGAGACCAACATGTTGTACGCTGCCAAGGCTGATGGGATCACTTTCCCATTGAACCAAATCTGCCGCACGCTTGTTAGCCAATCGACTCTCCAATTTCAGTGCGCCTACTGCCCTACAAGTTGCAGGCTTTGCTTACAATGCCCAGCAGGACTGTTTTACAAGTGGTGGTTTGCACAATGGTGTTGTGTTCTTCCACCATTTTGGATGAATCATTCTCCTTTTGGCGGACCTGTTAAAAAGGCTTCCCGTGTGGATCTTCAGGGGAGTAGTTTCGCCCCTGAAACGCTGCCGCTTCGAGGTACGCTGTGAAAGACCGCCTGCACCGTCCTGGGCGCAAGACCTTGAACCGCTCCTTGGCACAGCCACTGGCTGCGGCAGGAGTCGAAGTGCTTCGCTTCATGCTTCTGGCTTGCTACTTTTTGGGAATGCATTTTGTCCCAAACAAAACTTGGCCACTCAGCCAGCGATCCAGGCTAAGACTAAGATTCGTCAACTTGTGTGACTTGGCGCTTGACATTCTTGCTGAGCGTACCTACTTGCGAGGACCGTGGCAAAAGCTTGAATCATGAAGCCGGCATCGATACTATCATACCGTCACACCGTGCGCATCTAGACATGATCCCAACCCCTTCAAGCACCCACGTCGCGCTGCTCCCCGCCAAAAATAAATGAATAAGAAAACCGCGCAAAACACCATGACAGATTTGCCCCTCTATGCCTTTTACCACACTGGGTTGTTTGTTTGCCAGATCTACTGCACCTTTCCCGTTCAGTGGCAGCCAGTTTCCCTTTTCGCTTGGCGGGTTCCCCACTGACAATGGTTACGTAGGCCTTTTTCAGGAGTGTCTATATGTCCCCTTAAGGCCAGTTTACGCATCACTTGTTGGCCAAGTTGTGGCTGTTGTGCTGGGGGTGATATGCAAGGAGCAGTATAGGAAGCCCCGATCTTTCCAATCTTTCCAGGGCCACTGGGCTGAGGCTTGAAGAAGACCAAGGCCCTCTTCACCCGGCGTTTGGCCCGCCAGTTGCGCCAGGGCCGAGAGCCCCTTGGCGAGTCCAGTGCCATTGGGTGAAGCTGGCGGTTTAGAACCCGGGCGTGGGTCCCCGAAACGTGGAATTTGGGAATTGGCGACTCCATGTCATCCGTTCCCCCGAACAATAAAATTCCCCGCCCCCCCCTCCCGTTAGAAGACACCAACAACATGTTGTCAAAGGAACATATTAGGGGGGGCCTGGGTTCAGGTGGTTCATAATGAAATAACTAGATTTGGTTATCGCGTATAAAGTACTGTTCTCTCTCTCTCTCTCTCTTTCCTTGTGCCACACGAAAACCGTCAACGATGTTTTGTTGTAAGTAAGGGGATGTTTATGGTTTAGACTCCTCTTCTTTTATCTGTTTCAACTCGGGTGTGGAGCCTGTGATTTTGAAACGCTTTGGGTGGTTTTCTGGGGCCCTAATGCGGCTGGAGTTGGGGACAGTACGGCAAGTCACTGTTGTTACTAGCCAAAACTTGGCTATCCCAGATTTGCGACCCAGATTTTCGTGGAATTTCGGAAAACTATCTTTACTATCCGGGTGACCTTTTCCTATTAGGAAGAAGCTCCTGTCAGCTGTTTATATGAAATTGCCAAATGCCATTCTGGAAACAAAAGGAAAGCAAAGCCACACCAAAAGGGACAAATCTGATAAAATCAAATGGACACTACAGGCCACCCGAATGCTGGCCCTCTTGGCAGAAGCCCGAAGGAACAACACGAAACTGAACAGTTCGCCTTGGATGTTTGGTGAATTATTTTTCACCAAAACTGATCTGAATCAGACATAAAATCAAAGAAGTGGACAAACAGAAAAGAAAACAACTCCAAGCCCCCCCCCCCCAAAGCGCCACGGGAGTTGTTGAAGGGGCTGTCTGCGGCTTTTAAATGGACAAGCAGCTGCGGAGAAGATATCCTCAATGGCTTCTATCGTCGCAGCAAGAAACCGTTGATTTTCAGTCACGGTGCAAACACAACAGCCCATTCAAGTCGGAGATGAGTCGTCCCCCCGCACTGACAGTGACAGTCACCGCTTAAATCCGCCGTGTCAGTTGGCGGTCAGGACGGTTTGCAGGCTGCATATCGGGCAAAGTATTTCAACGTATGTCAAATCGTTTGCTCGCTGGCTGCTAAATTGTCCACATGAAAAAGCAAAGGGGAGGGAACGGAAGCGCCTCACGCCCATGCAACGGCACCAAGGCGTAAGGTCATTCACCGCACCAAGAAGAAGCTGGACAGCCGTGAATGGATGACGCGACCCTACGATGAGGTGAGAGCCTGGGAGAGGAGCCTTATCAGACTTAGCAGGCTTTTTGTTCAGATGAATGGCTGATTCGGCTGATTTGTCTTGAATGGGTCTTGTGAGGAACAAGGACCTGGGCAACTACTTGGATCCTTTGAATATGCCGTGATCTGATCGGCTGATGGCGGCCATCTTTCTTCGGAAGCAGCCGCAGTTGTCGAGGTGGGTGGGCAGAAAAAGTATTGAGATCTCAAACAACTGCGTTTGTTTTGCTTTTGGTGCCCCTGAATCCTATTAGAGACTCTTGCCTGAGGGGAAATGTCGCCTCACCCACCATGCCAACCGCGGGGCTGTGCTCACGCGTGCGCACGGAAAAAGAAAAAGCAGGTGTAAAGGATGTGAGGGTATTTTGATGGCATGTTTTTGACCATTACCTGTAATTCTTGACCATTACATCCAGCTACTTGACCACGTGCCAGGAAGATACTTGACCAGCAAAGATTCAGGGGAACAAGGCCGGCAAAAAGCAAAAACTGGAGTTGCGAGATTGTGCTTATGGTAACCCAAGAGTCACAGGGGCTGGATCTTCCTTTCGAGGAGCGATGCTCAGTTTGGTCGCCAGATGAATTTGTGAGCTTCCTCGAGGTGGTAGCCCTGCAAGAAGGTGGCTTGCACTGGTTCGAACACTTAAACACACCCTGCTGATTTCGTTGTGTGGCCCACACAGAACCTTCGTCTTGGCTCTGGGGGCTGGCCAACACTCAAGTCAAGGGCGCAACCGCTTATTTGGGCAATCATCCATCAGAAAGGTTGCCTTGTGCCGAGGGATGCACAATGTGACGCGGCGTTTTGTTGAAGCTTAACCCTCAGATAAAGCTTTTCTCCGCTTTGCCTTATCCAGTCGGCAAGGACGTGGCCTTTCCAGGTCAGGTCCGGTAGGAGTTGTGACTAAGCCAAAGTGGGCTCGGGGTCCACATGTTTCCGTCGTACTTTTAGCGTCACTCTATGTTGCCCACTTGATTTCAATTTTGAGGTGTCCTTTTTTTAGGAGACCCCCCTAAAAACGCTACCAACAAAATAATACACACGGATTTGTCTTTGAAATGATTGAGGACACCGTTGGACTTGTGCCAGTGAATACTCAGCCAAGCTGCAGGCCGAAGGCCGAGAGTGAGCCTCGAAATGCCTCGGCCGCCTGCGGAATTCGAGGATTTTGACCCGGCAGTTCCGTTTGGCAGTCTCTTAGAAGATCCTTGTCAAATATGGGTCTTAAATTGGGATGCCGCTGAAAATGGGTGGTTTCCCTTTAGTTTCCCTTTGACCAGGGTACCATCAAAGGAAGACATCCATTCAATCCATGTCTCAGTGTCACATCCGATCTGCGCTTACTGATGGAGGGGCGCCTGGCAGCTGGTCTCAATGTCTTTCGACTCAACTCGGTTGCAGCTGTGGCAGCGGACCCTAAACTAGTTCTAATAAGAGTTCCAGCTTGCACCAAAGGACGATCATGGTGTAGCATCCTAGAGCCCATTTCTTAGAAGCCATTTGGGGTCTCCCAGCGCTGGTGTGTGACCTCTGTTTATTAAGTCCCATTGGAGGTGCTGATCTTACGCTTTCTGCTGAGTTCCAGCAGTGCAGAGGCACAGGGCCAGTTGGCTGTTTCCATGATCAATGTCATGTTGTTGGCTGATTTCTGGTTGGTGGGACTGCGGTGACTGAGTGGGCAGGGAGGGAGAATGTCGCCGACGGCCATATCTCTCCGAATGCACCCAATCTGTTTTGACCGAAGCTAACCGGAGAAGAGCCCGCCCATGCCCTGAGGGGAGTGCTTAGGGTGCTTGCTGGCTTGCTGCATGCTGTTGCCACGCTGCTGCCACGCTGCTGCCACGCTGCTGCCACGCAGCTGGCATGCTGCTGGCATGCTGTTGGCATGCTGCTGGCATGCTGCTGGCATGCTGCTGGCATGCTGCTGGCGTGCGTGGTCTAGCTGTGCTTGTTAGGCCTTTGCTCAGAAATGCAACGTAGAGGCAGGCTTTTGCCAGTGGTTGTGTGCTGGGTTGAAAAGTTCAGACCATGTTGCAGGCGTTGCTCCAGGCTTTATTTTGCCCGCCCTCCTGACTATCCTTGCGAAAGGGGCAATAGCGCTACCAATGACACTTAGCGGAGGTGCGCTGTTTGTTCGTTGACAATTCCCGTCAGATTTGATCGTCAAGGTCATGCAATTTCGCGCTGGCTTGGCCGAGCTGCCATTGTTTCCAACACTGCTGTCCTGGCTTCTAAGCAACGGCTTGCTGCAGCAGAGGCTGCTTCCATGCCCTTGCCGCAGAGGTGTTATTTGATGTGTGTTTGTCAGTTGGTTCTTTGGACAGTGCAAACTTACCTGGCTAGCGTTGGGCGGAGATCCAGCTCGCTCCCATAGGGTCGAGTAATTAGTTCACTGCAGTCTGGGGATCCCTGGGGCCTGTAATCGCCCCTGGCCATCGGCAGCGCGTGCTATCGGGCAACTGCTTTTCTTCAGCTTGCTGGCACGCGGACTTGCTGGCAAGCTGCTTGACATGCGTGCTGTTGGCATGCTCACGCCACGCTGCTGGCATGCTTTTGGCTGCTGGAGTTCTTCTAGCAGGCTGCTGCTGCTGCTGCTGCTGCTGCTGCTGCTGCTGCTGCTGCTGCTGCTGCTGCTGCTGCTGCTGCTGCTGGCATGCCATTAGCGTGTTTGATGTAGCTGTGCTTGCGAGGCACTTAGGGTGCTGTGGGCTTGTTGCGATTTCAGAAAGGCTCAATGCAATTTCTTGGTGGGTGTTGCTTTTGCAGAAAGGTCAAAGCTTTGTGGAAAGATTTTGCAACTTCGCGTTGTGAATGATTGCCTGACAGGACCTTTGAGTGAAGGAACACTTTTGTATGATCGCATTGCGAATGTCCGGAAGATCGGGTAGCAGGCTGCAGGCAAAGAATTGAATTTGCTGCATGCTAGGAGCGTCACACACACACATACAGAAGTCATACCTTCTCAGCCTGCTGGCTATGATCAAGTGTAGTATTTGTTGTTATCAGTGTAGAAACTGGTGTGTCTCAAAGTCGAGACTTGCTGGTGTGCTGCATTGCAGACACAGACCATCTTTCAATCATTTTGCCCGTCTTGATCATCCCTGCGGAACACCCACCTGCCATGATTATCAAGCAACGACATAAATTGACATGCTGCTGGCCTTGCGCTTGTCGCCTGTCTTGTGAGCATTTCTTGCAGCAGGGGCATTGTTTGCATGTTTGATCTTAAGTCACTTTTCTTCACTGCACTCTGAGGCATCCATAGCAGAGTTTCTTGAAAGGCGACTGGCTTGCGAGCTTACTTGGAAGGAAAGAAGGGTATGAATGTGACAACTTGTTATTGGGAAACAGGAAGCCGCAGCTTTATAGATATATGAGGGGGTTCCTGGAGTCGCTGTCGTGCATGGTTCCTGGCTTGCAGCAGAGTATTTTACAAAGGCCACATGCGGCTGTTCAACATGTTCAACCACTTTTTTGCACGTGAAACAGGTGACGAATCGAAAGATCGACATCCTGACCACTTTACAGGCAAGCAAGCAACTATCTACAGAGAGGTGGGTACACATTTGCAGCACATCGCTTTGTAGCTGGACATGTCCAGGACACCCTCGGCGGAGAATATTCAGCATGGCTGCTGGCTGAATTCTGCAGTGAGACAACCCGCATTGCGCGGAAGTTGCCCACAGCAGCCGGTCAAAGGCCCTCACTGCACTGGGTGCTACAAAGCCTATAAGAGTTGGACTTGCCAAAACGAAGCAAACAACGGTTTGGTAATTTGTGGATTCTCGCAGGCCATCATACATTTAACATCCGCCAAAAGTTGACCGAGTATACGTTTGAACCGTGCCATGGATTTTGATGACTTGGACGAGGAGATCAACAAGCGAGTGCAGGAGGGCGAGGCGCAGACTTGTGCCACGCTTCCCGTTGGGGGGGCGGCGGGGGCGGGTTCAGTTGTTTCCCTTTGCTTCAAGGAATCTTGGGCAACTGACAATCTTCGGTGGCTCGATGTGGCTCGGATTGGACGGGTACATGGCGGTCAGGCCAGCAATCCAACCACGGATTGTGGTGTGGTGGCGGTGAAAAGTGGATTGCATGAGAATCTGGTGGTTTCCCTTTGGTTTTCTTCCCTTTAAAGCAACGCCGAGAAGGTTATGGTCAAAAAACAGCACAAAATGATTGTTTGTAGCTTGGGAGGGCCAACCCTTGCTTCCTTTCGCCTCGCTGCGCAGGATGTTGCCCCCAATTTTGTGGAGAACCATCAGCCGGTCAAGGGCACGGTGCTCCCCAAGATGACGCGGAAGCTCAGCTGACAAATTTAGTTTAAGCTGAAACGCCAGCCGGTTTTGAGCCAGTTGGCTGTGCAAATAGCTTGGTGTGTTTGCCTGATGGGCAGGGAATGGCGGGGGCAACTAATCAGCTTCCTTGTATTCACCGTTATTTTCGGCTATCTTCACCACATGCATAGGGAGGCGTACCCCGATCAATAGACGCTTCCCCATACATGGCGAGAATCTTTTGTATGGATGTTCCCGCTGAAAAAGCTGCCAGAGTTGAGACACAGTTTCCACTGCGAACATCAATTGGTGGATTGTGTGTGTTTGTTTGGGTTCAGGCAGCTTCGCATAGCTGCCATTGTACTTTTCGAGGCGCCCGACTAGCCCACAAGAAGGCAACGAAGAGGAAGACTTCGAGTGCATACACAAACACGTGGTCATGGCCCCTTTCACCCGCTTGTCAAAGGCTGAATGTGTGATCTTACATACAGTAGTTGAACCTTTGGTACGGGCCCTAGTTTGTTGGTTAGTTATTGGCCACTAGTCTTTTGCTCAATTATGGGAAACGAGTCAGCAAAGGCACCCCAAACACCCATTGGTGCAAATTTGTATCCATAGAATCAGCCCTTGAGTTGAACCCCGGGCGCTCAAGGGGCCAGCGCATTCCCGACTTCTCGAAGCTTCCGGCTGCGAAGAAGAAGGCACTGCCTCCCTACAACGGGGAGCCAGAGGTGGAGAGGCCGGAAGGGCGTTCCGATGTTCGTCTCCTCCCCCTCGTTTCGCATTGCCCAATTTTTGCAGGGGTCGAATTGAGATGTGTTTTTGTTCTTCTTGCTCGTGGCTTAACGTGAAGCAAAGAATAGGATCGTTCATGTTCCATTGAACTGTGCAATCGTGCTCCTCTTTGCTGCCCCTTTGTGCATGTGCCCTGAAAAGTGAAATTCACCTGCATGAGCACCTCGTGCCCAAATCCGACAACTACATATCGACTGTACATGGATACTGCTTGTTTGGCATTTGATGTGATTTTCTCCCGGCTTTCACCCGCTTCTCTCTTTGAGTCGCAAGATCGCCGGTGCTGCGCCTCCTCTGCATCCACGGGGCGGCGGACAGCTACGCAGCGGACCGCCCGCTGAGCACCGAGCCTCCCATGTAACAGAACCTAACCATGTTGCCCCTTGGAACGCTGCCTTTAACCATCACCTCCTAAAGTTTATGCCGTAAGGACAGCCAAAGAAAGCTTTGCGCAGAGCAAACAAATAAAGGAAGCCGGTTAACCCGCGTACTTCGGCGCCCGTCTCGAGTTTGTCACATGGCGCGCAGTACTGATCGCTTCAGGAATACAGAATACAGTTTCTCCCTCGAATGCCACACCCATGTCATGGCAGTCAGCCTGGCGGCTTCTGGGTTTTCTGTTGGATCCCCGGATCATTGCATGTAAACAAAGCGCGCAAAATAGACAGGGTTCCTCCCCTACCTACCTGGTACCTAAGATTTGTCACTAACTCCTGCTTGCGCCCGGTTTCGCTTTTGCTCCCAGCAGGAAGGCCCTCACAAGCCCCGTCGGGTCGGAGCTGGGTACTCTCCCCCCCTCCCCGCAGTGCACCTTCAGCGTTGGTATGTTAGTCCAATCACGGCATATGTTTGTAAACAGCACAGGCTGAGGCTCGGTTGCCATAGATTTGTTGCGATTGTTGCTGAACTGCTGTTAAGGGCATCGGAGTTCATGTGATTTTTGGAACATGCCATAACTATAGTAGCACCAGAGAATTGGCAAGTGCTTTTTGGGTTCTTTTCGCGCAAGGATCGAAGCGTGCTTACCTTTGCCCTACCTTGCCCTTCGGAACAGCCATTCTTCAATGCACATTTTTCAGACCAGATGTTCAATTCAGGTTAATGTTCCAATTTCCCCTTGCGACGGCTGGGCCCATTGTGCATATTCAGGGCTCCGGCCCGGCTTGCTCGACGCTCCGCCTCCGGACTCTTTTTTTCCGGGAGTCCCTATATTTCAATGTCTGGCATCTGAAGAATCCTTTTGGGTTGTAAACACAAAGGTGGAATACCCCCAGAACCAGGCGCTGGGGCTTCTGTTGGGTGCGAAACGGTATGCAGGCTGCAGGCATATGCACAACACTCTGAGTAGCATATCAACGTCTTGCATATGAACTTGTGTGCCCCGTCATTGCGCGCCGTGCATATGGACACCTATATGCTGTACAATGCTGATTTACTGAACGCAAAAGGTATGTGCATATGCATTGATATCAATCAGTTGTCAACTGTATGCAAGCATGAACCACTCACATACCATGTCAGATGCATCTTTCAGTTTATCTTTAGATGTACATATACATAAAATTTGAAAGTTACACCCATTGCAAGTTACGCAGGCTATTTTATACATGTACGTGCGCATTTGCTGAACCCTTTGTATTCGCGTTGGGTAGGACTGGTGCGTCCTGGAGAACGAGGCGCCCCCCAATATCGAGGTGGTGTGCCACGAGTTCCCAGGGCACGGGCACCGGGACCTGGAGCCGCTCTGCTCGAGCCTTGGCCTGGCCCTAGGTTGCCATGGCTCTGAATCGGTCTGTTGGAGCTGTGCTTTCTCCTATCGCATCTTTGTGTTGTTTGTGACAGTGAATTGTGACATATTTCCGGGCACATTTGCTCCTTTGCACGTTGGTTGAATGCACGGTCATGCCCTTTGTACGCCCCTTGTAATTACTGTAATCTTATACGCATGGAGGAACTTTGATGTGTGTTGGCACTGTTTATGCAACGTGCTTGGCCTTGGGCTGTGGTTTGCAAAAATGTCCTTTTCATTCCCTGTCCTAAACTTTGACGCCCTTTATTCCAGTTAGCGCACTTGTACGCCTTTCCAGGCCCGTGTATGCTTTGTATGGCCCTTTTCTGGAGTTTGGTCAGTGATTTGTTATCTCCTTGCTTTTTTTTTCCTCCCCCTCTTGATCTTCCATGGCCTTTTGCTATTAGAGGTTGTTTAGTATGTCTTCCGTTGACCAGGCAAAACACCTTCTACATGCTGCCAGGGGTCGGCATTTGGCACACGCAAATTGATCTGTGCCTGGAAACATGGGCAAGGGTTGAGGGCGAGGGGGAGGGTTGTGACTGAATCGGTTTTTCTAAAACAATTGCAAGCCTCGGATCGGAGCTCCAACCTGCTTGAACAGCCCAGAATCCAGGACACTTGACGAGCTGGTGGATGATTGCTTTGAGGCCTTCCGGGAAGCTATGGACACAGGCAAGGAGTGCGCCCTCGAGTGTTGCCACCATCAAGCACGACGTGGCTTTTAAGCTCTTTTTTGGGTAACGTGTACGTCACACGCACATGAAGACAGCATGAGGCGTGCAAAGGCTTAATGTTGGCTTGGATGCATTGTCACCAGGCAAGTGTCAGTCGTTAAGCGTCCAACACTAACTTGTTTGCATGTATGACAACAACGAATAGCTCAGGGTGGAGTGTTAGTCTAGCAACCGCCCGCTTGGCCACGAGTGGCCGCCAGGCGCCTTCGCCATCCTAGCGCATTCCATAGGTGCGGAGTGGGTCGCCCTGGGGTCCCATTTGTGCGACACACTGCCTTCGGATGCACAAATGAATACCTTGCAAAGAATGTGAGGTGTGCCCCACCACTGCTATTTCCATTTGCTGGGCGGACCTAGTTGACACCACCGGTGATGTTCAATTTCAGCTATGCCCTCACAAGCTCTCTTGGGTCAAAAGGTGAGACTTTGCATCGGACTTCTCTCTGGCTCAGCTTGAGGGTTGGGGTTGTGCATCGCGCCACTTGCTTGATGGATAGCATGAACATATCTAAACACGTGTGACTAGGGTTTTTAGTGTCTCTTTTTTTGTTTCTCTCTCTCTCTCTCTTTCTGTATATAGAAAAACAAAGATACCAATGAATATGTGCGCCTCAGAACCTGCTCATGTTTCAATGCAGGCTTGCGGCTTGAGAGTCCCACCCCTCAGGGAGGTTCTCAGAACCCCTTCTAGGAACCTTTCCTGGGAGCGGAGGCGTTGGTTTCCCTCTAATCTTTTGCACTTCACTTCATTGAGGGCCATCCTGCCGTGGACATGGTGCAGGACGCATGTTTTGCTGAGGGCCTGCGCTCCCACGCTCAATGCCTGTGATGGCAGTTGGTTTCACAGACGGACTGCATGTTTGAAGCTTGCCAAATGCTCCAAACCTTTCAGCTTGTGAGGTGCGGATGCTTGTGCTTCAAGTAAGGTCGGGATTTGTTTAATTGCCACCCACTGCAACACACTTTACGATGCCTCTTTTCACTTGACCGCGCATGGGCATGATGACGGGCAACGGTTTGGCGACCATTTCATGCTGCAGAGAATTGACCCCTGGAATTCCGGTTATGCATTTCCACTTCTATGCCTGTTAAGCCCCTATTCAACACATGCCGGATTTGCCCCCTGGAAGTGTTGGTTTCTTTATGGGCATTAGAAAACATATGCCTTGAAAGTTAGTACAAGTTGTATTTGGGCTACTTTTGTACTGAGCTCACATGGTAATCCGGAGATTCCCTTTTTCCGGCTTGGGAGTTGTGGTGCTTTGCCCAGAGGTCGGCCAAGCTTCCAAGGCTTCCATCGCAAGCGGCCTCGGTCAGGGGCGCTGATGGCCGTCAAGATGGCAAAGCGCGCGAGAGCTGAGCTAGGCCTGTGGTGAAAACAAATATGCTCGCGTTTTTTTTTTTGTCCTGTTCCAGGTTAGTTTGCAGAGTATCTACAGCTCATGCAGGCAGGGATGCCTAGCTTTGGTTGCAATAGCCACAAAATAGGGAAACCTCAGCAGCAAGACTTCGCTCACAGGCGGTTTGCCTCGTTTAACATAAGGAGTGCCTGTGCTGACTCAAGACGTGCTTGGAGTATTTGAGTGGTTCCTGCATGGCGATCATGAGCTGTCTCCAGCTGGCGCGTCGACAAGGAAAATGCCAAGGAGCCAAGCACCGGGTTGCAGTTTGCACAAACCTTCAGAGTGGTAACATGGGGCACTTCCTTTCATTGCCGACAACCAGGTTTCCTGGCACGATCCCCGCTTATGGGGGAAGCAGGGGCACTGGAATTGGGGACCCCGTTTCATTTCAAACTAGAGCTGTGTTTATCCAAAAATCGGATGTCGCATGCTCAACCTGTCGAGCTGTTGTATTGCTACTCGCCAGAGCGGCTTTCTTTCCTATGCTGCTGGTCCCGTTCAACTCTCTGTCGCCCAGGGCACTGTCACGCGGCGTTGCGCCGTACAAGTTCAAAATGTTGCTTTGTCCATTGTGTCCATCCCACTTGGTGCTGGACTGAGTGGTGCGAACTTCTATTCATTCTTCACCCCCCAAAAAAAACAGTTTCTTGTTTGCGGCATCTTCCTTGAAAGCAGCTTGAACAACTTGTGCCTGTTTGATTTAACAAGCTGTCATATGCCAATTTTCACAGCACTTGCACCGCAAAGCGTCGCCGGCCGTTTCTCAATTTGTGCCTTTTGTACTTGCTGAGGCCAACAGCGAACACCCTTCCTGTTGCGACGTGTATTTATACATTTATATTGTACGGAATATCCGGCACTTGCACGCGCAATGCTTCGCTTTTGATTTTATGGAGGAACACCTTGCCACGTCATCAAGCTTAACAGCGACATGGGAAACTGCTAAACAATCAGGCATGCATGTAGCCATGCAGTGCCATTTGACGCGATCCGTACAAGTGTTAGTGTTACTGTTATGGCTTGAAGGTGGCGGTGAGTCGCTCACGCCAGGCGTTGAACCAGTATTTGTCATCATGCTGGAAAGGCACGCTGCACAGTCTCAGCCGCTTTTCGGTGAGAAGATGGCGACCGTGTTGACCTGACTATTTTCATGGGCAAATGTTCATTTCCGGAGGAGAGACTGACGTTGGCTTGCCTTGCTTGGGTAACGCTGCGGCATTGACGTTGAGAAGAGCTTAAGGTCGTGATGTGGCCTGTCCCCTGCTTGGACAACGGATGTTTGATGCACGTGCAAGGCATAGCTGTCAAGCCACAGACTTTTTTGTTGGCAGCCATCGAGCCTTTTGGCACCGCACGTGTCACATTGACGCGGTCCTCTTATTTCAGATGTTGCCAACATGTGAACACACATGGGTACATACGCATGTAATTCGCATCAAATGTGCTGACCTGCTCTCATGAGTCAGGGGAGCTGCGCAGCATCCTCTTTTCACCGAGCGAGGCGCGCAGTGGCTGCGGGAGGACTGACCGGGCTTCAACCCAGCGTACATCCAGTGTTCGGGCGCTTTTGGTGGGCGTCAAGCTTCACATTCCGCCCACGCAAGCGAAGGAATGCAAATCCCTAAGAGGATCCTCCACCAGCCAAGCCAAATCATGTGCAAGCTTGATTGCAAGGGGTGCAAGGTGAAGCTTTCTTGCCATCAGGCAAGCGACTGTTCGGGTTCTGCCTTTTTCGCATGTGAGGAGCCAGTCGGCTTTTTCGAGTTCTGGAGACTCGGCGGGTCTGCGCCACCGAAAGTGGCCAACGGCTGTTGGGCGTCGCTGCGGTGTTTGGGACGGTCAGTTTCGCATGAGTTTCCTTGGTTGTGGGGTTGGCTTTTGAAACGGGATACATATATATATATATATACATATATATATATAGGGATGGTATGTGTATATATCTATATAGATACATAGTAAAGAGGCCTGTGTTACTTTGTGGTGCTTGCAAGCCAGTTGAATATCGCATGGTGTTGGCATGAATTTGCAGCTAAGATGGCTATATAAGTGAAGAAGCACTTGGCATCATGACTCATTCCAGGTCCCGGGCAGATAGCACACGCCTGCTTACAATCATAGCTAGCTGTAGAAAAGCCATGAGTGCAGACATGCTTTGGGACCCAAGTGGGCTCGTGTTCGAGTTGCCCTGTTTTTGGCTAGTCGAGCTTGACGCTCAGATTCTTTGAATGGTGCAGTTCCCGAAAAGGCCAGAGAGACCGCTCCCCAAAGTGGAGAACAGCCCTTTGAGCGCGCGCAGCTCTACCTTTTTTGATGGAATACTGCATGTAGAAAACAAGCTGCTAGCATCTACTTGCAATAACTGAAAGAAGCTGTTCATTACTTGAGAGGGGTCGGGAAATAGGCTGCATGTACACATTCACATATATAGATATGTATATATATATATATGTGTGTGTATATGTATATATGTACATATGTATATATAATAAGTTCATCGTAGGCATGGTGAGGTAGGTTTTAACTTTACGGCTTGCGCAGGCACAGGCGAGCACCAATGTTTGTCGCAGTCGCAATTCATGCCTGGCTTGCATACTTTCGGGTAAAGCTTAACAGCCAAAGAGGAATGTTGATAGGTCAGCAGCTGTTGGTGAGATGAGTGCATTGGGGACCTCATTCGACGTCCTTTTGCATTTTCGGATTCGTATTTGTTGATCAGAATTTGAAGATGTCGTTCTTAGTTGGGTCAAAGCTAAGGTAGGCCAGTGCGTGCAGTCAGTGCAGACATACGAGGGGAGTTGAGAGGTGGTGCACGTTCTTGGGCCCAGCCCAGCTGAAAGGCGGGCCGGCATGAGGTTCTTGTGACGGCTGCGGTCGCAGAGCTTTGCGTGCGAGCCCAAGCCTGGCTCAAAGGAAAGCCTTTTTAAAAGTGTTTCGCCACACGGACGGACATGAAGTGCCTCGATATGCACTTTGTTAGCACGCACACCCACACACACCCTTCTGTGATGCGACTCGAACACTTGTGCATAGCCCCGCAAGTCACCCAGCACTAGGCAGTGGAATGCAGATGCCCCAGATGGGTAAGCCAGAGACAGCTTAATGCAGCTTGGTGCAAGCCTGCCGAAGAACATCCCCGCGCCATGGGGGCCTCGGTGGCAGCGTGCCACTCATCCTGCAAGCCCTCCCAGGAGGCGTGCAAGAACCGCCTGGTGACGCCCAGAGGGTGAGATCGTTTTTTTTGTTCATTTTCCTTGTTTCCCCGGCACACTAATATGGAGCCCACACAATCGGTTCCTGAAGAGGAGGCTCCTGTAAACTGGGTTCTGGGTTTCATGTGAATCAGCAGGAGGGTATTTTGTGTCGATCGTGCCCTCCGTGATCTTGCAGAGGGTTTTTGGATCCACTTACTGATTGTTTTCTGCGGGTTCGGGGAGGTGTCGCCCCCTTCGGCCGGTTAAGGACAGGCTTGGAGCTAATCGTGCACATCCCTCCGCCCGATGCGGACATTGTCCCAACTGTGGACGAATGCCACCCCCACCTACAAGGACTCTGGTACCGGCAGACGGATGGAAGGAACGTGGGAGAGATCGTTGGGGACAAGCTCCTCGCTTCAGTCTGATTTGGGGTTTGAGTCGAGGTCATGCTTGTGGCAAATGAATTTCGGCAATGGTCCAGGTGGCCGTTGAACTTTGGCAAGGCGTTTTTGGTTTCTCCTGCCCTCGTTTGGCAGTGGTTGCCCGAAATCTCTAGATCTTCAAGCGCACGGAAATCTGAGGAAGTGGATCCTCCGATTCAATTCGCACAAATTACTTGAGGCTTGGATCCCTTTCCGTTTTGCGGCAACTAAAGCAAAGGGGCTCCTGTGGAGCCGAAGGATTGGACATTTTTCCTAATCACGGGAAAGGCACAGGGCCCCCAACATGCACACACTCATATCTCCCGAGGCTCCTGTGGAATGTGCTTTGGGACATGGGCACAGACACTTCCCATCTCACTGTGGTCGGGGATTCGCTGGAGATCGAGCTGCGAGGGCAGAAAATCTTCGGTACCATTGACCCCCAGGCGCAGGAAATCGCCGTTACGCTGGCTAGTCTAAAGCAGTTGGTTGGTTGGTTGGTTGGTTGGTTGGTTGGTTGGTTGGTTGGTTGGTTGGTTGGTTGGTTGGTTGGTTGGTTGGTTGGTTGGTTGGTTGGTTGGTTGGTTGGTTGGTTGGTTGGTTGGTTGGTTGGTTGGTTGTCTGGTTGGCTGGCTGGCTGGTTGGCTGGCTGGCTGGCTGGCTGGTTGGCTGGTTGGCTGGTTGGCTGGTTGGTTGGTTGGTTGGTTGGTTGGTTGGCTGGCTGGTTGTTTGGTTGTTTGGTTGGTTGGTTGGTTGCCTGGTTGCCTGGCTGGTTGGCTGGTTGGTTGGCTGGTTGGCTGGTTGGCTGGTTGTTTGGTTGTTTGGTTGGTTGGTTGGTTGGTTGGTTGGTTGGTTGGTTGGCAGTGCTTCGGCTATCAGGCCACGCCGTCCCGCACGGCAAATGCCTGGGTTTCTAGGGCGGGCCAGCTAGTGCAGCCAAGAGACCGATGAAACAATCTGAAGAACGGACAGGCAAACAGCGAGACGAGCAGACCAAGTGCAGGAGAGAAGCGCTGGGAGGACGTTGGAATGCTGGAAGGTGCTTGTGACCACAAAATGGGGCCAATTAAAATCAACAAGGCCAGCTACACACAGGGGCGCGAAAGGCTGGAGAGCGGCGGTGACCACCCTATTGGGGCGCCTTGCCGGGACCACACTGTAGCGGCACGAGGCCAAGCTCAAGAGAGCAAACCCCTGGCAGTGACCACACCGTGACGAGGCCAAGGTCAGGAGAGCGAAGCCGGGCCATGACCACACTATGGGCGGCGGAGCGCAACGCATACGCCTGGCCGTCATGGCGCGGCGGCTGACGGTGACCGCACTATGAGGAAACCGCACTGGGGGCAAGAGGCCAAGAGAAACAGCAATGCGAGAGGACGGCTGCACCTAGGCGCTGTCGCCACCTGTGGCACGGTTTAGGGGAGGTGCTCATACCTAAACAGCACCCCTGAGGACCACACTCCCCCAACAACCAGGAAACCTCCAAGAACCCCACCGCCCAGGGGAGGGATGTGTGCACACGCATGCATGCATACATACATAAATACACGCTCGCACGCCCGCACGCATACACACATTCATACGTGTAAATGATTGTAAATGTATATATCTATGTGCGTCCTGATTTGCTTATATTGACCAAAGTTTAGTTGGAAAACTCCCGTAACACGAAAAGTTGAAACGTCAGAGCCGTTCAAAGAAAGACAGTAAGGAAGAAATACAAAGAAGGAGATCAAGAAGGAAGGAAGTGTGTGGAGGCACAGGTTTTTGGGTTAGGCGAGATTGCGAAGTTGCTACAAAGTCCATGCATTTTGTAAAGGTTGTATGTGTATTATTTTCTTAGTGGGCCATGTAGGGGGGTTGTGCTTGGGTAGGTCGTTTTGTAGAATCAGGGTTTTGGTTTCGTTCGCATTTGGTGGTGCTTGGGCTTGGTAGACGCTGTTTGGCTTCTATGACGCCACTGGGCCACATCCCTTCTTTATGTGAAATCAACAGGCCATCGTTGGACTACAAAATGCTAAGGCCTACAAAATGCTAAGGCCCCTTGTGGGTTGCGAATTTGGGCGCGCGCGTGTCATGAGTTGGCAGACTACGCGTCCAGCAGTTCCCAGCAGATTTTGGAGAGATGATGTTGGCACAAACTGGAAAATGGATCAAAACGGGGCTGCTTCTTATGTTTGTTATGTTTTTGTGTTTGTACGGATGTGTTGGCAACTATTGGTATCTACAGCATGGGTGTCCAATCCACTTAAAACACTGGTACACTTAATATTTCAGGGGTCATGATGTAGATCCCTAGCTGGAGCCCCTGCACTTTGCAGTGACCGCTTGGTAGCAACGAACAACACCCAGTGGGATTCAGGGACAAATTTTGTAGATAGTTTGGTCTGCGACTGCCGTCATTTTGCACATGTTTTGCGAAAACTCCCATCTTTATACTGCAGAATGGGTATTCCAGCCCTACCCCCTAAATTTGAAGGAGCGGTTGAGCCTTTTTTTTCCTAGTAGAGAATCGTTTTTAAAGGATGCCGCAACGGATGGTTCAGCTTGGCGCTGTCCCAAGTGATGCCCTGCTGAGAACCAGCGACTCGTTGAAGGGGGAGGTTGATTGAAGTTTGGCCCAACCCCCAGGCGCAGACTAGAATCCTCTGGTCAGACGGGGACGTTTGGCTTCGGAAGTGAGAGCCGAGTGATTGCCGAGCATGCCAGATGAGCGAGCTTGGTAGGAGCTGGTTTGTGCCCATCGTTTGGCCACTAAAGTTGCCAGTTTCAGCGCTTGTTCAAAATGAGCTACTCGGAGCTGGGGGCGGCAAGGGCAATGGGTTGTTCTGCAGCCATCTTCGTTTTAGGTTGCCAACTTGCCGCCTGACCAGTTCCGCAATTCTATCGTCCACTGGTGGGGGACAAGCTGAAGCATTCTTGAGCCATCCAAGGACACCCATGCGCAGATTATACACACGAATGCGCTGTTTTTAATCCTGCAGTGTCGGGTGGAAGGGTGCAAAGACATTTAGTGTTGCGAGCATTGTGGATCCTTCAAGCTTTAATCATGTTCCGGGATTTGGCTTCGAGGACGCGAAATGAAATCACCTTGGGGCAAAGAGTCTGTTATTGGGTTTCCCAACTGGCTGTTTTTTAGAGGCACCCTGGTTTGTAAGACACATCGATCCATTTCCAAGTGTTTTGAAACAAGTATCTCTTATCCCGGCGAGAACCACCTAAACGCACACGAGCGCGCAGGCGACGCGGACCTAAACATAACATTGCCCAAGTTGCCCAAGCACCATAGAAACAATAGTGCTAGCGGAAGTTATTCACAACGAGTGGAACGCACTTCAGGTTGTGTAGGGTACATGTGTAGTCCCCAGTACGGCACTTTCCTGAAAGTGCGGGCCCTGCTTGCTGCCAGCGGCATGCCGACCCCACGTTGCAATCTGGTGATCAATTGTTTGTCCTAGCCGAAGGTCCTGGAATGCGTGTTGCTTGCCGAGATGCGGCGTCGGCAAGGCAAACAAACAAGCACTGCCACTTCTTGGAGGCACTCACGGAAACAGAACAAGCTGAGGGGTGCTCCAACAGCTTTAGAACCACAAGTGTTCATTGTACCCAGTGATTTGGCGTTTGGGTGAATCTGATAGATACTTTTACGTGGTAGCCCTAGCTCGGCCATTTGACCCAAGCTGTCAGAGCTCGGTCTCTTTGAGTCGCACGGTCTTAGGTAATCCAGAAGGGGCACAGCGCATTGTGCGGCAGAATTCTCATACATCTCACGGAAGGATGTGCTTGGGTCATGCATCTCTTTGCGAACTCTGTATGGAGTTCAGCGAGGACGGGGGCTTGGATGGCTTCCTTAGCATAGCAGTTTTTTTCTCTGCCTTGTTGCGCAGTAGGAGTAGGTGGGCAGCATTGGCAAGCAATCTGCCCTTGTTTGGCCTTCTTGCACATTGTCATGCTTACCCTTCGTCACGAAGACATGGACCTGGCAACTTGCTGCAAAGCTACTCCTTTTTGACTGATAGCTCCTCCTGATCTTCACTTTGTTTGGGGGAGGGGTAAGCATTGAGACGTAGTTCTTTTCAACCGTTGCACATTGCCGTCTCCCTTGTTTGGGGAGAAACTGGCATACAGCGCAGTGTTCTTTGAACCGTCATTTAGCAGAATCCCGCCGGCTAAAATGCTGCATGGCTTCGAAGCGGTGGGTCTATTGCAGTGGCCCAGACATCGAAAGCTTGTGTCACCTGAGGCCGGCCCAGTATGAAACCGCAAGTTCGTCCAAACGGTCTTGAGAAATTGTGAGAGGAACCGCGGCTTTTGGTGGACTTTGATTGATATAGTACTGATTATTCTTGCTGCCTCCTGGACTCCTGGTTATCTATGCGACTCTTTCCAACTGTTTGTCGGTTTAACAATACTATAGCTGCCTTCGTATTTTCCCTTCCCGCGACTTGTTTGCACTGTTTAGTATTGCAGCCTTTCTGTTGGCTTCGGGCAGCCAGGCCAAACGGAAAGCTTCATTTAGGGGGCGGGGGGCCCTCAAGTTGTCTTACAGGGTCTTGGCTTTCATTTGCTCCCCCCTTCCAGTGATCGAGGTCTTTTGTGCAAAGGATGTCACTACCAAATCAATTACACTTTTGGGTGGCGTGTCTTTTTTATGTTACTGTTTGAGTAGTTTTTTTACCTGTGAAAAGCTGCAACAAACCTCAGCCCCCTCCCAAAGACATTTGAGGGCATCTATGTAGCAGTACAGGCTAGGCCAACCGTTGGACGGAAAATTGTGACTCGTAGGTTCATGTTACCTTGTGTTGGGTGGTTTGAAAAAGGATTAAAGTGGAACCGCCCGTGCGCCAAGGAACCCCATGATCTACAAGCTCTACAAAAGCGCCCCCCCGGAGGTTGGCGAGCGCACCCTGTCCATGTGGGCCAAGGATTGGAGACTGTCTAAAGCACAATCTTCTCGGGCTTACTACTCTAATTGAGGAAGGGGAATTGCAATGAAGTTGCATATTTCTGGCCCCTGCTCGGGCCTGCGCAGCAAGCAAACATGTTCAAAGAAAGCAGTGTTTGTTGGAGAGGCCCCTTTTGCACCGCTTCCAAGTGTTCCGTTCAGGAGCAGATCATGGATCAGGACGCCATCGAGGCGGACTCCAGGTTGATCATGCGGGACCCGAAAATCGTTTTTTTCCTGTTGGTTTCCCTTGAAACCAACCTGAGAAGGACACCCTGAACACAAGCACCCAAATGGGAAGCAGAATTCGGAGGGACGGCACACGGCGAGCGCTCGCAGCCCCAGTCTGTGATTTAGCAAGGGCTGGTTGTTCTGACAGCGTCGCGCGATGAGAGTGAGCAAATTCCCTCCAATTCTTGAGTCTTGAGTTCTTGCCACCACAACCGGCGTTTGCAACGCGCTTTTGCCATTCTGTCAGAGAAGCGCGGCTACTGCCAAACGCGACAAGCCCAGGCGGTTTCGGTCACCCGTGAGTCTTCCTTCCTAAAGCATTGCCAGCTCCTCCCAGGTGGGTTATCACAGCTTCAAGTGCCCAATGCTAGCACCTTGGCTGCGCTCATTCTGGACCTGCAAAATGGTCAAAGTCATTCGGAGCCCTCCGGGCAGGGGGTGGTTTATCTTAGATCATGTTACTATTTGTTGGCGGCTTGATGTTTGCAGCCTGAGTTGCTAAGGCATAAGGCGAATACGCATGCGCAGACATCGGAGCACGGGCGTGAATTGCCGAAAGCTGCAAGTTCTGGACCCCCTAAGGTTCAGCTTTGTCGTATCCGCTTGGCAGTGGTAGAATTGCAGCCGTCTAAGTGCATTTGCTTGCATGCGGTCATGCGGCAGCATTACACTTACACAAGGGAACACTTAAGCTAGGTGGTCCAAAGCGAATCCACCTTCCCACCTTCGGTTCTCAGCCTTTTGAACATTTGGCAACCAGTTGAGTCATGACCCGAGAAGTCAACCTGCGTTCGTGAATGGACCCAAAGGTGAGCCCTGTTTGCTTCTAGGGTGTCCTTCTCCACTGAAAGGAACACGGGACAAGAGCGATCGCCCAGGCAATGGGAGCCGAGCTTTCCTGGCACTCCTGGGTGAAGTTGGAGGACTTGAGTGACGAGAAGCTCGGCCGAAGGAAGCCATGTGGTGTCTCAAAGTGGACCCATGGGGTTTCATTTGTAGTGGTCCCCTACTTTGGGGACCACACCCATGTGAGAGTGTCCAACAAAAGCAAGGGGACCCTTTCAAATGGTTGAGCCTCTTGGCTTCCTTTAAACCATCCACAAAAAGGCCACCCCCTTTTTCGACATACCGATATGACTCATATGAACAATGTGAATGTCCGACAAGCTTACCACACGGGGCAAAATCGGCAACACCAGCAAACCCGAATGCCCCAGCAATGGCGTCCCCTGCTCCTTCGTTAGAGGGGTAGCTTCCACGGTAGTTGAGTCTTAACAGACCTATTTGTATGATTTAGGTGTGTTTCTTCAGACGTGGGAACTACATATCTTATTAACGCATGCCAGGGAGGACTAGGGTCAATTGCTACAGTTCGTAGGGTAATTTTATCTTGATTGTGTTTTTTCTGCTAGTGGGTTGAGTTATTTGCCCCAAGTGTGGAGTTTCTTTCACCAGTTTGGTGCTTTTTGCACCAGTGGGGGTGTGTTTTGCACCAGCGCCGCAGCCCAACAAATATGTTGATGCCAGGGTCAAATATGTGGCTTCGCTTCAAGAACCTGAAGGACAGAGTTCTCTCAGAACAAAGGCAGCCTTTCGGCCTGGTCTTGATTTGCTTGTGAATCATTGTTTTTGGTCATGGTGCCGGTGCTGGTGCTGGCTTGCAGTCGGCATTGGTGTCATTACTGGGCAGTTGTTTTTCCTTGCGGTTTCCCTTTTGCTTGCCTTGCTTGAAAGAAGCTCTGAGTGGCCCTACAATGGTTCAATCTATGACTTTTCTTCCTCAGGTTGCCTAGGCCGACACACACAACTAGTGTTGGGGGCACCGCTGCTTTGCATAGCAAGGCGAGTTGTTTAAAGAACAAAGGGTCACGACTAAATTGTTGTGCTTTTCACTGTTGCTGGCATTGCCATTTAGCATTCATGAAGCCTCGTAGCTGCGAGTTTTGAGCAATCCGTCATGATGCTGGCATTGCTGGCGCGCTTTTTGCCAAGGAACAAGAAGCTTATGATGAACAAGCACGAAGTAGGCCGAGAGCGCGGAGTCTAGAGCGGGCGACCTACAAAGAATCTAGGTTTGGGCTCTAAGAAGATGGGTTGTGCACACGTGGTGGAGGCCCCATGCTGATTTGATGCCCATGTCTCTGTTTCCAATTCAAAACGGCAATTGTCATGCGTGCCCCTTGTCCTCCATTGGCGAGCTTGCTCGATTAGACTTTCACAAGCGTCAAGTTCCCATAAGAGGAATATGTCAATTGCTCAGCACCCCCAAACTACGACAAGAAGCAAGCATGAAATGCTATCAACGTTGTACGATGGCTGGAGAACTTTCATATGTCTCTCCACAGTCAGGTGGTGGTTGGTGGCATTGCCTCCTTGGCGCCTGAGTCGTGTGCGAGAGGCGCTTACATGGTGGAGAAGGACGGCAAGCTTTTTCAGGGCCATTTTCCTGAATGGACCTACAAGGGCTGGCAGGACTGATCTGTATCTGTGGCTTGTGAACCTTGCAAGGGGCCTTCACCAACGTGTCTGAATCTTGCTGCAGTGCTCTAGGCCTTTTTGTTCCGGGTCTTGACACAAAAAAGACGTCAGCGGTTTCCTGCAAACCGTTTCCTAAATTCACAAGATTGATCCCATTTCAACGGGTTGCCAACTCAGCTATTGTTGGAAGCAGCTTTTGTGAGAGATTGAGTCATTGAGAGCAACCTCTAGAGGTTGCTTGTCGTGCCCACCTTTTGGGCTTCGTGAGGATTGGACCGAACATCCGGCCGGCTGCCGCATTCTGCAGTGCAAGGGTGCAGACGCTCGGACGAGTGGGCTTTAGTGCAAGCTGATTGCCTAAGGCCGCAACAAACCTAGAATGACATGCGTTTGATGCATGTGATTGTTTGCGCTGGAACAGCGCTCAAGAAATAGCACCTGAACCTGTAAAGCATCAAACTTTTTGGCGCCTTGCTTGGAATCAATGCACTTTGTCCCTCAAAGAAGCTTTGCCTAGCGCCAACGGCCAGGGATTGCAAGACAAGCGAAAAGCTATCGTTGGATCGAGACACATCTTGCTTGCTACCTGCCTTGCCTCGAGACACACCCGTCACTACAAAAGCACGGTAGTCTATATTTAGCTGGGTGCTGGGGTTTGCCGCACATTTCAGTTTGCAGGGGCCACTTAATATTCCCGTCGAATATTGACTCTGTCTTGCTTGTTACCGTCTTGGTATGGACAACGCGGTGGCTTGGTTTGGCACGATGACCGAAGCTTTCTCTTCTCAATGGCGTTTGTCTGTGTGTGTGTGGGATGCACGGGGCAGCTGCTTTGGTGGAAACAGATGGCACTAGCTTTCTCAGTCAAATCCAATCAGGAAGTGAACATAGTTTGTGGCTGGTTCGCGCGCAAGATTTCACTGTTGCCAGTCCGCACGGAACATTTGCAGAATCTCTGAGGCCTTGGTGATTCGATCGACCCTGTTGTAGTTTGTGATACCTGAACCCTTCCAGAGCTCGGAGGCCCAGACTAGCCTAGGCCTGCCATGCTTGAAAGTTTATTAGCAATATTCAGTTCAGGATTCCGTTTGGCTGCGGCCTGTATTTTTTTGGGTCCGCATTCTAGCCGGCCAAGAACCATATGGACGTGAAGCTCAATGAGGACTTCAAGCAAGAGAACCTCGCCTTGCAGACTGAACATCCTTTCACCCTTAGAGTCTCGGAGTCCCGTACAACATCATCTCAGGATTCAATGTGGTGACCAGTCAAACAAATTTCAAAGCAGTTCCATTGAACCGGGTCGGTCCCCCACAAAGATCGGAACGTGAGCGAATGCCCAGACTTGGGCTGGGAGTGGGCATGACATGAGCGTGTTTGGATTGCTGCTAGATGACCCGCGCATATTTGCCAATTGGTGTTTGTCAACGTCTTACTCAGTGCGAGGGCAGGTCCTGCTGGCCGAATTGGGGTCGCGCGGGCTGAGGCTATGGAAAGCGCTGAAGCAAGTTATCGAGACGTTCTGATGTATGCCGGGCCAGCATTTGCCTCACGCACACACACAGACGTGGATTTTGAGGGACTAAATGCGTTGTTCTTAAAGCCCAGCTTGTGTTTGTGCATTCCCGCTCAATACTCAGGCACCCCTTTTGGGGAGCGGCTCTATCGACAGAATCATATTAGGACGGCCATTGCATCAGGGCTGTAGCAGTGCCCAGTTGCAGAACCGGCTTTTGACCATGGTACATTTAGTGCGCCGGCGACCGGCCTCGACCAAATGTTGGATGGTGTCGCTGGTCGTATCATCCAGCAGGCGTATTTTCCACTTGGCCTTCCTTAGCAGATCGCCGCATGCAACGAAATGACATTCGTGGGTGCTTGGCATGCCTGAGCAGAGGGCCGTCAAGAGCCCGTGGCGTGGCGACTGCCCGCATGGATGGACACAGGTCATGTTGTCCGTCGAAATTGTTAATTGGCATTGCCATGCAGAGACTCTTGCACCAGCTCATGGATTCCAGACAAAAGATGAACGGAAGTTGGCCAGTAGCGTGTCAGGAGGCTGCAGAGTAACACAGTATGTAGTAGTAAAGTTGTTCAGCTCTACCAGATGCCGAACACCCCATAGGTGGTGACGAGCCCGAAAGGAGAACGGCGGAGAGATGGATGCATTGTTTCCCGGACTGTTTGCAACCTGTTTGGAAGAAGCGCCACGATGTGCGGGTTCACTATCAGAATCGATACCGCCACTCTGATATCACGTCTTGCTTTTTGCCAGCCACAGGGCGCGCTTCGTCTCCAACGTTCGCCAGGCCCCAAACTGAACAAACGACAATTGCCAGTCTCATGGGGACAACATGCTTAGATGGCCCAACTAGTGCTAGCACTGTGGATCCTTCGCAAGTAGAATCCAAAAGTAGAAGTCTGTCGGGCTTGCAGCTGCGGACGGCTCAGGGTCGGCCAGCCCTTCCCCCCACGGACAGACAGAGAGAGCCAGCAATCCTCCGGACAGTCGCATGATCAACTGCACCCCATGCGGTTTAAGAAGGGCGCTGAATCTGCAGGATTGAAAGTAGAGGCGCGCGATCCAACCATGACCAGTGCTTATTGCATTGCCAATTCAATTACATGTGCAAGCATCCATCCAGGAGCAGCAGCGGGAAAAACCAAGGCAAACAACTACGGAGAACTTCTGCCAGGGGGCGTGTGTGTGAGGGTTCATGCCGCCCTTGAGCCTGCATGGCCCATGTCTCAGCTCCGCCAGGGTGTTGAACACTTCAATTGTTCCTCGGTTGGACATCAAGTGCCTTCAGCTCGAAATGTCTTTCCAGGAGCCATCGTCATGGGCGAATATCTTTGAGGGTGCATAGATTCAATAGCATGATTGCATTGCTTGAGCCTACACCCCTTAGACGCTGCAAACAGCCAGGGTCCTGGATTATGTGTGATGACTCAAGACGGAAGCTACTGCAACAAGGCTATTGAAGATTTCAAGCCGGTCTTCCAAGCTCCATGAGAAAAACACACGAAGATTACCCGTATATAATTTAATTCGAAAGTGACCACAGGGCATGGATGGGATATTTTCTCCAGGACCCCTGCCAAACACCCGGCAACACATGCTAAGATTTGTGCCCATCCGCATGAGTTGCCAGTCCACAGGTCATGTGCCTGCCGGACTTCCATGGTGTCGCACTGGCCGAGCTTGCCTGGAGGGCACATTCTAAGCTTGGTTTAGTAAGGTGAGGTCCCATCCTTAAATAGGTGCGGCCACCCAGTTGATGGCTTGCATGGTTTGGAGTCCTGGTTTTGAGTACCTCTAATAGTTGAGCCATTTACTGGTTCCTTGGACAGCGAGTTGGCACCACGAGGGTTGGCCGTTTGTCAGACAGACTTTGGTGTGATTAAAGGCTGGGGCAAGGTCTGTGTGAATGATTCCGATTTGGGCCGAATTATTGCAATTGTCCAGTTGTGTTGGCTGTAAGCGTGCTGTCTATGTTTGTTGCCCCTCGCGTCTCCCACATCCACGGACACAATAATGATAGAAGACAAGGTTGATTCTTGCATTCTGCGAAGGGTTTTGTTGCGCAATGCGCCATAGGATGTGCGGGCCATGTCTTTTGAGGCATTTGCAAGATGCAAGTTGGCAACGAAGACAGCGCCGCATAGTATGAAAGCCCGAGAAGATGCATGTTTCTTCCAAACCAATGGTTGGATACTCAGAGAGATGCTTGGTGTTCCTTGGTTGGCATTTATGCTATCTTGCCCGTTCCACTTCAATTGCTATGGCCAAGTCCTAAAATCCTGCGCATGGCAGAAAGTGAGTTCGTTGCTGCTTATCTCACCCCGAGCTTGGTTCTTGTGTCAACCAGGTGTTTGTTATTGTTGAGGGCACCTTTTTTTGCCATTCAAAGATTCACCCGTTTCAAGACAACGCCACACGTAAGTCGTATCCCCATCGAGCTTCCCCGCCAGACCCACGTGCCGGCCTGCCAATGTGAGCGCTCTGCCTTGCCCGAGACTCAGCTTTTCCATGGCCTCCATGGCAAGGAGTTTTGGGAATGAACCGTTTGGGATCCCCAAACGGAAACCACCAGGGATAGTTCATCGGGGTCATGCCCTCATTCCCTGTGAACCAGTAGCTTCATTAAAAGAAACCAGCTCGGGGAAACTTTCAGCCTGGCACATACCAAATTTTATGGGATCCACCAAGAAGTTTCTGGAGATTCCTGAAGCTCGATTCTTGGGTTCATGGTGGCCGTCACTTCTTCCAGCCAGAAGCCATCCTAAGATGTCAAGAACCTTTGCTTGAGGGCACTCATATAGAATTGAAATGAGTCCATGAATGACGCATGTTCACCTTTCTAGCTGGGTCCTTACAACAGTTTCCTGGACGAACACTCTAAGCGGACAACCGCTGGCAGGGGGACAGCGTCTGGCGCATTCAATCTGATTGCGCCTGAGGATGTCTAGAATAGTTTCAGGCCGACTGGTCCAAAAGACCCAGGCGTGAACGCTGATCCTTGCTGACCATGACAAGCATGGGCCAAACAACGTGTGCGAGCCTGAAGGTCAAAAGGGCCAACTTGAATGTTCGGGCCGTACCGCCAAACCGATTTCAGATCATGAAGCAAGCACTCCTCAGGCTATGCGAGCGCTTCGAGCGGTGGGCGTGGCCCTCAGAACACGTGCACTGAAGACACGCATGAGCGCCCTGTCAACCTAACCCGAACGTTCGATGCAACCCCACATGAATCCCTGGAAATTCGGATTGGACATGCCATGCACTGTGGTTGTTTGACTAACTTGCACCAAGCAAGACGCGATTGGAGTGTCATGCTGTGTGACAACTTGCCGCGGTCATGACTCACGTGACGAGATATTGAGAAGCTGATTGACGGCTTGGCAGCTTCAGGCAAAAGCTGCGCGGCTTGAAGATGTGATGCAGTGCCTTTCTCTCAGACTATGCCGTCGGGCTGGACGGCAACTGGGCTAGGGTGTTGCGTGTGCTGTTGGCTTGGAATTGTTTTGGTCAGCAGCAGTTTTGTTTCAACACCACCCCGCCCTCATCAGCCGCGTGTGTGGGTCTAAAAACTAGGGCCCTTTAAATGGTTCTGGTTTCCCTTTTGCATGGTAATGTTCATAACTCAGATGGGTTGTACTCAACTTGTGGTTCAGGCCGAAGCAAACTTCAGCCGTTTCCCGTGAGAACCTCGTGCATGTCCGTCCGTCGGGTCCCGTCCGTTCGGGCGGGCGAGCCGGACCTAAGGCGGCCGCTACGAGAAGCTCCTGGAGGCCTTTGGGGCCTTCGGGGCCTTCGGCGCGGAATGGGTCAACCTGCGATCGGGGAATCGGTGCGTTCTCGGGGAACGAGAAATGGAGTCTGACCCACCCTCATTCCCTCAGCAAGAAAAACGGGGCGTTCTATCATGTTCTATCGGTTTACTCTACATGGTGTTGGTGCGCCTACCTTTCTGAAGGATTCTGTAGGCAACAGGCACAGCAGAACGGGCAAAGAAGGGATTGTATTCTGAAGCCTTCTGGCGCGCAACAGTTCCCTGCATGAGGCTTCCAGTATTTTCAATCTGCAGGGGTGTTCAGGCTATTGCCCAAAATCATCCTGTCACGGCTTCCGGGCACTGAACTTGCCAACAAATATTCTGATAATTGGCCCGAAGAAGACCCTAGTTTCAATCCCTTTTCCTCAAACACAGCCCCCCAGAAGGTGCACTGTTTAGGCAGCAAGGCAGCACCGGGACTGGCCAATCCAGGCAGCACCGGGACTGGCCAATCCAGTTGCCACATGTTGGCCTAGGCGGCCAGGAACGGCTCGCCGCACTTGTCCCGAGAGAAGGCGCATGATTGGGGGGGGGGTTTGCCCAAACGTGAAGGATCACGCACCCCCAATTCATTTCGGTTCCAAGTCGCGTTTGCACTGGGTGGGCCAGCGGTCATTGCAGCATGCTCCAATGCCATACTGGCCCATGATGTATGATGTATTCATTGCTTGCTTGCCCTGTGTCCAATGAGATTGAGAACCAGAGCGTTTTGGCGCTCCGTGTGCGTTAGCGCGGAGAGGGTTTTGAGATTTCGATGTGGGCGACCATTTATCCGCTCCTGTCCCATGCTGTTCAATTCCCTTATGCACAGACCAACAGATGATATATTGTAAAACATATCCTGGCAAAAGTGCCCAACATGTGTCACTTGTAAGGAGGCGCTTCCTTGTTGTATTATGCTATAATATGCTATACAAATGACTTAGGCCAGTTTTACGGCCGGATCCAGGTTGGTCAACCCCTACTCTGCCTCCTTTTGCGACAACTGTACTTCAGGTAGCTTCAGAGCTCTGAAGCCTGCATTAGATAAATACTAAAACGCCAGGGACAAGTAAACGCTTTGAACTTCCGTTTGTTCAGGAGCGGCAGCTACAGCTGGACGTTGAGCGCACCTGGCCGTCGCTGAGTGCCTTGGGTTTCCAGACTGGGGACTGCGTTGGCCCAAGCCCTGAAACAGAAATCCCCAAGGAGGTTGCAACATGTTCCATGCATGTCCACCATAGGGAACTAATTGGCTTCAGCAATGAGA